ACTCTTTCCTTTAGCCAACACAAAAAGTATACAAAATAATGAAGGTCTACACACATTTTCCTATCTTAGTTTCCTCAGTCAACTTGACTAAGGACTCTGGGCTTACATCACACTCTTGAAATGAATCCAGGGTCCCTGTCCTTCCTGCATATGGCTGTTCCCCCCAAATACTGTGTTTCCTTCTCCCTCCTCCCTCTCTTTCTGTGCAGCTGGTTTCCTTCTCCCTTATCTGGTTCCACGGGTAAACCCAATCCTCTACTATGAAAGTAGGCCTCTCCATTCTTCCCACACTTTTTTGCCACTGTGAATACCTCCAAGTCTCCCCTTTGTTCCCAAGGTCATCAGGCCCAGTGGTGTAACTATTATGGAGTGACTGGGGCAGCTGCTCTGGGCACCAACTTGTTGGGGGCGGTGAAAAAAAATGGCTGCTGCCACAGCTGCACAACTATGCTTTGTATCGGTGGCAATCAGCAGTTGACACTGTCCCTGTATATGGCAGCTGCCCTAGGTGCCTGGCCACATCATTATATTCTGCTGACACCCTGTATTAATACTTGATCTCTTCATTCTGTTGCTGAGGATTCCACTGCTCCAAAACAGACAAACTTGGCCGGGCTGGTTTCAGTTGGCTGCAGCCATCTTTTTGTCGTAAAATGCTCCTGCTCAAATTGGAGCTATCAAGATTTAATGGTGCTCCGCTCTTAAGTCTAGAGTATATGTGAGACAGCTCTGACAGCATATGGCTGACTTGCTGTGGAGCTAGCCATACACTGAGGCATTCAATGATACAGCAGTTTCATAACCTCAACCAGGATTCATAAATTGTACAGAGGTTCCTAAATCATCACATCTGGATGTGGAATGTTATGTTCCATAAGGAATATCTTATAACTTATAATTTATTTAACAGATAAATGTAAATATGAGAGACCCTCATTAATGCAGATATTTAACTGGCAGTGAATTCCTACCCGAGGCATATTTAATTGCAATATTTGCATTTGCTACTCAGCATAGGCTTCCTCGGGGACTTTAAAAAATCCACACTATATTTATTTTTCAAGATCCATATAAAGCAATACGGAGGTAGGACTGAACCCACCTCTCCTCTGTTGCCTTCTCCTGTTGTCCTAATAAAATGAATAGTTCAGTTATTTCTAAATCCAGAGGGTCAAATTCTACCTTGCCTTATGTTTATAAACCCAGCTGCAGTTGATACCATTTTGCACAGAACAACAACTACTGAAAGTGAAACATTCCCAAAGAGAGAAACTTCTGCTGAAGTGTCTTGTGAGACTACAGGCTTGAGGTCTGGTGAAACCTGGTAAAAAATTCCTTTGAGTATTTTCTATTACTTTCAAGGCTGTTGCCAAGAAGACCCCGCCAGTTTATTGCAAAAAATCTTAAGTGTTGTAGAGGATTTGTAGGATGTTTAAATCTTATTAGCAAACAAGTGACAAACCCAAGTGGGAACATATTCTACTCTATACATGTACTGCTGTTATTCCTGTGCTAATAGTAGACACATCTTTCTTAGCAGCAACAGATTGGTAAATGTGGAATCTCATTCTCTGAACATGTAAGAATAAAAAGCCGACCTGCCATCCATCAAAATGTTTGTATTTTATTTTATGTTTGTTAGGGTATTATTGCAATTGTAGGTAATGCTGATACAATCTCAGGCATTTGATATTCATTGCCATAAGTTTTACATAAAACTTGAAAACGGGCAGCAAACATGGTATACGTTAACTTCTCAAACAAAGATTCGGTATGAAGGGGTTCAACATGAAGGTCAATAAGAGATAATGTGGCATGTTAAAATATGGACAAGACATCAAATCAAATATTATATTTCATAATATAGTATTGTCACAGGGTGCTATTGTTACTGGCACCTCTTCATTCTTAGATCTTAAATTTTCCTTTGCTGCGGTGTGTTGCAGCTGCCATGCCTTGATGAATCTTACAGGAGGCTGGAGAAAAGCTAAATCTCAGAATGCTTGACCAGATGTATTGCAGGTGGTGCTGCCCACGCCCAAGGCTCCTCCATCCCTACACCCTGGTTCATCTCTTACCTGTTGATCCTAACAGTGTTGGCTGTCAAAGGGAGTGTTGTTGTGTGCTGCTCTCCTTCTCCTATACCCAATTGGTTACAACCCAGATTGAATTATACCTATTATCAGTTCATTTGCTTGCTACCCAAAAATCATAAAACGGAGAAAGTAATCACTATGGCTCGGGATGAGTGAGCTGTCCTCCAGTCATGTTGGCCTTGTGGCCTCACCAGCCCTCATTAATTTTACATGAGGTCTTTGGGCCTTAGGCTTGCAAATCAGATTACAATAAACAGAAATCACAGCATAACCCGCCAATCGTCAGTCCATACCCAAGGTCACTCTTGCTTCATAAGTGTTCCAGCCACAGCAGGTCACAGAACTTGGATCTTTACCCCTCACCAGGGCCTTCAAACCCCTTTTCCTATTGCTCTCACTATGTCTAAACCTCTCTGGCTGATGGTGGCTACAGCTCAGGTTTATACACAGCCTCAATCAGAGCTTCGGCTGCTTACTTGGCCCTGCCTGGCTTCAAGCAGGGGACTCTAATTCCCTTGATGCCCTCCACCTGCGTCTCCTTTTCCTGTCTGGGCTTTGCTCCCTACTCCCTACTCACAGGTCACTTGCAGCTGGAGCTTCTCCCTTCTGTCTCTTGCAGGTCTCAGGATTCTCCAGCCTTATGGGTCCCAGAGAAGATGATGAGACCTCTTCCTCTCTTGGCCACTCCTTGGGGGTACTCCTGGCTGGCTGGCTGCCTGCACCTCCACATTGGCACCTGGTAAGTCCTCCTGGCTCTTTTCCCTTTCCAGGGGAAACTAGTTCATCCTGGTACTATGTCAGGTACAGGCCTAGGATGCCAACGTCCTTTTAACTTCCACTCCCCACCCCCCAAATCACTCGGCAAACTCACTGGTCTTAAAAGGGCTGTACCTGTATTTGTGGAATCTCGCTGCAGCCTCTCCAGCACAGGCTTGTCAGGGAGACAAGAGTAGCAGGGTTGGGTGCTCTCTGCTATAAATATATAATGATATTTGCAATAAAGCCAAGGTTTATACACAAACATACGGGCCTAGATTGGATGCGGAATTGGTTTGTAAGACTACAAAAGCTGTGTTCTCAAGCTTGGAGTGGATGAAGGGAAGATATAGGCTGGCTGGACTGTACCTGGAGGAGGGGGTCAGCATCCCACTGTCCAAAGGGATGTCACATCAGTTGTCTGTGTATTGGGAGGGATGAAGACTTCCTAATGGTTGTAAGTGACAGCTCTGAATAGTAGCTTTTAATGTTTCTTTGGACTGCGCACTGAAGTTGAATTAAAGCTTGTGTCCCAGGTGACAGTTCCTTGGTTCAATCTGTGACAGGGCTATTTAAATATTGAAATGTCAAAAATATTCATGACTTTAGACAAAATGCACAATGAAAATGGTCTGTGATTTCAGGAACTTTCAATTTAAAAGGAAGACAAAAAGTGGGCAGATTTCCTCAGGAACCACAGATGAAAATTCAGTTATCAAGTGGCTTGTTTTCTATGGGGATCACAAGAGATAGGAATGGTTTTAGAGATGCTGTAAACAGGAGGTCATTCTTTGCTTAGAGATCAACTGGGAAAAGCTGATGATCATTGAGGATTGGATCAGTGGTGGGGCACAAGGAGCAGCAGAGGTAACTGAATAAGAGACTAGGTCCAATATGTGAAGATGTGTAGTGGATAAGAAAAGGCCCATTTTTGGATGCCAGATAATGAAATGATGTAATCAGATGTTACACAAAACAGAGCTGGATTGGTAAGACCAAGTGTTGGATTCTTTCCGTTGTCCTTTGTAGGTTGCATTACAGCTAGGTCTACACTGTGTTTAGAGATGGAACTGATTGCAGCATGTGTAGGCATACCCAAGTTAACTTTAAGCTAGCTAGCATAGGTTCCAATAGCAGCTAAGATGTAGCATCATGGATTTCAGTGCAAGTTAGCTATCTAAATAAAAACCGGGAGCTCTTGGTGAATTTATGCAGCCTGTGCTGAAGTTCATGCTGCTGCATCTCCATTGCTATCCATTAAAACTAGCTGAGGTACACTTACATGCATTCCTGACTGCAGTGTAAACATACCCTTTGAATCAGCGGGTAAAACACAGGCATTTTTGTAGTCCTTGGAAAGTTTCTCAGATGTGAATGGGCCAGTGTTGTCCATTAATGTTTGTTATTATTTCATTTGTTATTAGTAGCATAGTAGTCCCTGGAGACCCAGTTAGGACTTAAGGCAGGGGCGGGTAATTATTCAGGCTGCAATTATTTCAGCCACTGGCAGCGGGGGCTGCGTGCCATGGGGGAAGTGTGCGGTGGGAGGGTCTCCACATCCCCCCCACCCTCCCTCACAGCCACATCCTGCCCACTGCAACTCCACGCTTCTGCTGCCCCCCTGGGTGGGGGTTTTGCGTTTCTGCCAGCCCCAGCCCCACGCCTCATGCTCCCACCCAGGTGCAGCTGCTCCACCATCCTCTGCCCCCACCACTTCCTTACCTGGTGCCCAGAGTGAGCAGGATGCCAAGGAAGCCGAGCAGGTCCCATGGCGGCTGCAGCAGTGGCAGCAGCAGCCCTGCATGGAAGTCATGTGCTGGCTGCACCAGGCCCTTCTGCCCATGAGGGTGGGAGCAAGGCATGTGGGCTGGCTGGGGTAGAATTAGTTGGTAGGCACCCACGGGCCAGATCAAATTGCCTGGTGGGCTACATTCAGACCACGATTCACACCACACATCCACACCCTGCTCCCACAACCCACCCCCACATATACACCCCCTCCAACATACCCTATTTTGCCCACCCCTAGCTTAAGGTCTATTGTGCTTCTTCAGGGAGAACAGGCTACGAGACTTAGATATGGGCATTTAAGGGTCAGTGGGGGCATCTACGCATGTGCTTTACTGCAGAGTTGGCTTAGCTCCTCAGTAAAGCATCACCATCTACACATGTGGCACTATTAGGGAAGACTAAACTACTTAACTTCACCATAGGATAGTACTGCCAAACACAAGTACTATTCTGCAGTGGCATAGGCGA